GACAGACAGACAGATAGATAGATAGATAGATAGATAGATAGATAGATAGATAGATAGATGGGATTGCTCTCTGCCATTACCTCAAGTCTCCAAGGATGCTCTGTACCAACTAGGCTGACTTTTTTCCTGGTTGGTGGGCTTGCTTCCAAGCCCAATGCTGGTCTTCACAACCCCCCATATGTCTTTTCTAAGAAAGCCTATAGGGATTGTGGGAACCTTACTGGAGACATTCTTGAAAATAATGATAATGCTGCAGGCTGGAAGCTGTTTTGCTTTACAGTGGGGGGAGGAAGAGGAGGAAGAGGAGGAGGAGAAGGAGAAGGAGAAGGAGGAGAGGGAGAAGGAGAAGGAGAAGGGGGAGAGGGAGAGGGAGAAGGAGAAGAAGAAGGAGAAGGAGAATTGTCAAATGGAAGAGGGGACCAAGGGAAGATATCAGTGAGGAGATACTGCATTATTAGATTGTATCTCAGAGCTGATATGGGTAATGGCTTTTAGAAAATCTGAATAGCCATCTGTTGGGAATGATCCTATTCTGAATTTCCTGCATCCAACAGGAGATGGGATATGATGATCCACCCTACGCCTTTCTGATTGTGTCTGCAAAACTTGGGAGTTGGAAAGTTTATGGATATTTAACACTTCACATAAGAACACAGCCCCTTGGGTCAGCCCACAGAGCCCATCTACTCCAATATTTTGTTTCCTAGGTGGCCATCCTGACACCAAGAAGATACCCTCAAGCAGAATGTGAGAAGAGTAGCACTCTCTGGCTCAGGTTTCCCAATGAAACCTTCAATGAGGTTTCTCATTCGGGACCTATGATACCACCAGCATCTCTTACTTCTTATCATCAGTAAATTTGATGGTTGAACCATGTGTTCTCAGAAGATGCATTTACCTTTCTTGGGCCTGAATCTCCCACCATCCAGTTTTAGCAATGACTACAGAGGTTCTAGTTTTATGCAACGGTGGGGGAGGATCAATTCATTTACATCTGTTAGCTTTGCATAATTCTCCTCTGCTTTAAAAAATCCAAGTTCTTGCATGAAGAACTCTGATTTCATATGCACCTCTGATTTCACACAAAACTTACCCCATTGATCACATAACCAGAATCGCCATAAAATAGGATTGGCAACACACGCTCGTGCTTGGCAAAATGAAAATGTTCAGGAAACTCTTCCTTTTTGTAGACCTGCAAATGAGGGTGCGCATTTTTCAACGCCTGGTAGATTTCCTCTTCTTTCCCTGGTTTGGGTAGTATCATCCCAAACCCTCCATAATCAACAATGTCGAACTTCACCAAGTCTCTGAATTTAATGTAATTGGCCAACAAGATCTCTTCAATCTGTGGTTTCTTTTTGACAGTGGTCATGCCATGATCAGATGTAATGATGACATTGAGGGTGTCTTTCAAACTGTGTTCTTCTATTGCGGTGAGCAGGTAACCGATGGTTCGGTCAATTTGTTGGATTATTTTTCTCCTGGCGTCAGTCTCTGGGCCAATGTAATGCCCAGTACTGTCAGGTTCCCCATAATAAAGTGTGACAAAATCAAAATCTTCTTTAGCGAACCAGTCCATGACAATATCAATGTTCTCTCTCCATTCTGTCTCATTGCTGTCAGGATGAGTGTAGGATTCTGCCAAGGTTCTCATGACTGACTGACCACTATAGTTAGCATTGCCCCCTGGATAGTGAAAAGAGGCAGTTTTTTTCCCCTAACCAAAAAAAAAAAAAAAAAAAAAGAATTAATGGCAGGTATGAAAGTGTAACATTGGAGTCAAAGGAGCTCACTGTAAATCTCACAAAGAGAGGCTGTGGCCAACCTGGCAGTACGATTATTGATCTCCTATTTTTCTGTCATTTCTATACTCAGGATAAATAACTTCCCGCTGCAAAACTTCCCTATAAGACTTAAGGCATCCAGAACAAATAAACAAAATACTCAAAACATCTCACAATTAAATTTATGAGCGTGACTGCAAATTACTTCATGATTACCTGGGAATAAGTGCCATTGAAATAGACATTGTTTACTTCTGAATACATAAGTCGAACCTGCAAACGCATTAAGCTTTAACCAGAAATAACTTTTTCTCCCAAATTATATAGTTTTTAGTAGTAGTAGTAGTAGTAGTAGTAGTAGTAATAATAATAATAATAATAATAATAATAATAAAATTGAATTTCAAAATAACATCAGTCAAGCATTCTTATTCTTCTTACGACTAGTATTATTATTCTGCTGAATTTAATTTCTAAAGTGCTAAGCTGAGGCTGTAAAGTAATAATATTCTTACTGACATTTAATATACTGGGAAAAGGTCAAAGTCAGTATAAAATCTTAAGTTGACAAAGCAGACAAATCTTGCAAAGGAACAGAAGAGGAATTTAAGTTCTTAATGTCAGAGTAAGAGTGATGTCTCACATATTTTAAAATATTGCTTTTGGTAAGGTACATTCCTACATTTTTTCCTTAGAAATAAGTCCCACTGTGTTCAATGAATCCAATCCCAGATGAATATGTATAGAATCATTGCCACTTGTGACTCCAGAAGTAATGTGCCCATACTGGAGCTTGATTGGATGCATAGGGAGAAAGGTAGATATGCATTTGTACCACATACTACTTTACTTGATTGTTGAAGAAAGAATTGGTTGAGTTATCAAGCTAGGCCATAAACTATAGTTGTGGTTTACAAGCTACATACCTGTCAGGCCTAGCCCATGGAACTCCAAGAGGCCATGTAAATTCAGTCCAGCTA